AATGAACGTAGCACATGTCGGTGACGTCACGTTTGGCTTACGTGGAATCAGGAAGTGCCTCATGTCTTCTGGTTTAGGTTTCCTCCTTCGGTTGAGGTTGTTTTGAATTGGCAGTAATGCGCTAAAATTMGTCTGCCGGTCGTCAACAAAACAGCAGCCACGTTGTTCTGAAGCTGCCATGGCCGAGGACCCCGCGCTGTCTGTCCGGGTCTCTGAGATCAAAAACCCAACGGCTCTTTTCGAGCGGTACAACACCGAGGAGATCCGCCACATCGAACGCAGAGTCCGCGGGGAGATCGAGCAGAAGAAGGAGGAGCTGAGGCAGATGGTGGGGGAGCGCTATCGGGACCTGATCGACGCCGCCGACACCATCGGGGAGATGCGGCAGTGTTCGGAGAGYGTGGTCCGGTCCATCCAGGACATGCAGCGGTACTGCCACACGCTGAAGCAGGCTAAAGCCGGCGCGGGCGGCGCCAGGCAGGAGGTGAAGCTGCGCGCTTGTTTTAGCCACCTGATATAGAGGTTTACAAACACCTGAGCACGCTTCTGTGTCTGTTTGCAGAACAAGCAGCAGTGGCAGGAGAGGTTCTACACCATGGCGTCTCAGATCAAGCTCCTGCTGGAGATCCCAGAGCGGATCTGGAGCGCGATGGAGACCTCTCAGTACCTCCAGGCCACCCAGCTCTACCTGCTGTGCTGCCACCTGCACGGKCACCTGCAGCTGGATGCTGCCACGGGGGGACACTACAGCCCCATCCTGGCCCGCTTCCCCATCCTGGTGCGACAGGTGGCCACCACCGGACACTTCAGGTACTGATCAACTCTGACATGGAGGCTTTGAGGGCTGGATCACTGTGCTCAGAGCTAGCAGAATGAGTGCGTATGCAAAAGATGAGCTCTAAGTCAGGATTTTGGTGGTCTTCTTTCAGGTCGACCATTCTGCTGGACAGCAGGTCTCTGCTCAGGGGGCGAGCAGTGTCAGACCAAGCCATTGCGGAAGCCTTGGTGTCCACCATGCTCCTGGAGGACAGCTCACCGCGGCAGGCCCTGGCTGACTTCCTGTTGGCTCGGAAAGCCTCCATCCATCAACTCCTGAACCAGCCGCAGCATGGTACTGGCTCAGCCTGCAGGCCACGACACAAAGCTTTGCCAGTTTTTGCGAATCACATCTTATTTAGTAGCCTGGKCCTTGCCTTCYTACGCAGCTCCGCTCAATTCTCGTTTSCCTTCACTGCTCCGTCTGGGATTTCTCCCATAGAAGAGGATTTCGCTGGCAGATTTTTAGCCGGGCCAATCAGAGAACAGAACGTCAATTTTCTGTGCAGTGTCTGCTTGTAGTTTATTTCACCTGGACCAATCAGCAAACAGAAGGAAGAGTTTTGAACAACAGCAGCTGTGTCCAAAACGACAGGCCGGGTCCTCCGGAGGACCC